AGCTCTTTGAGATGTCGAGAAGACGTGATAAGGTCCTATACCAAATGCAAGGATTATTATTATTATTATTATTTATTATAAAGTGAATTGACTGTATGTTTGTGGGCGAAATGCGGCAGCCAATTACACACAGCAGAGTCCCACAAACAGTCGTAGATTGAGTGACCAAGTATTTGTTATTTTTTTAAAAACTTTTTCTTTGAAGGAAATATTACCCCCAGAAAAGTGATCTACCAATTAACTAACAACCAGGTTCCTCTTTACTGCTAGGTAAACAGAGGTATGCGAAGTAAGGAAACTTGTCTAAGGTTTCTCCCTGCCCAGGAATCAAACCTGGATCCTCTTGCTTGCGAAGCGAGTGCTCTTACCACCACACGACAGGACTCCACGAAAAAATCAGGAGTAAAAAGGGAGGTCATGTGGAATACTTCATACAGAATGAGTCCATATCATCCAAGGTCACTGTAGTAAATAAAAATAAATCTAGATGCATTACTGGCGAGAGGAGAGAATGAGGGATAGGTGGGTGGGCTTGAGCCTATCTTAAAGCATCAGCATGTTGGAACTAATGATCTGTTCTTGTTCCTAAATATGGTTCTGCTTTTCTAACAGTATCCTTGTGAAGGTCACTTGCTACAGCCCATAACCGCTTTGCACAGCTGTAATGATGATACCAGTTGGCATCCTTCTGGGTCCTGGAGAACGATGCCAAATGGTTTTTGCAGGACTGTATGTCAATGATTTAAGCACCTCAACCTGTAAATGTTGGGAAGGAGCCTCTTAAAAGAGCTTTATTGACCTGCAGCTTCAGTAAATGAGCTCAATCTATTACCTAAAGAAAAACTGCATGAAAAAGATTGGTATTTCCTTCCTCAGTCTGAATGTCGACGGCAAATTTCAAACCCCTTGTGTGCAAGAGGTGCACGACAGAGCCATATAGATCATTTCAAACCTGCTTGTCTGCTAGCTAATTGAACCCGTCATTCCTTAATTACGCTGCCTGCTCAATTATTGGATGGCTATTAAAATTCAGCTGTGGTAATGTTTTCTCACAGAGGCGAATACTTATAAGTGCCTGTCTGAGCAGTAGCCAAGGCAATCAGCCTTGAAATCCTAGCCAGCTCATGAGGAAACAATCACTCACACAGTTGAATTTATTCAGGCTTCTCAGCCCTGCAATTTTTGTTCCAACCATTTTATTGGACTTTTTAAAAAATATTTTGCTGCGCTTTCTTTCTCACAAAATAATAATCCTTGCGTTTGATACAGCCCCTCATCACATCTTCGAAACGTCTCAAAGCGCTTTACAGAATATACTGTAAAGTGCAGAATATACTGTGAATTGACTGTATATTTTGTGAGCGATTATTAACCCCGGAAAAGCGATCGGCAAAACGACTAACAACCAGGTTCCTACTTACTGCTACACTTTCACACATTTTATAAAAAATTCAGTTCGGCCGCTCGTTTCCTCCGTTGTGGAAATGAACAGAGTTCTGACAAAAGGTCATCGACCTGAAATGTCAACTCACTTTCCTCTCTCCGTAGATGCTGCGTGACCTGCTGAGTGTTCCCGGCCACTTCTGTTTTTATTTCAGGTTTCCAGCCTCTGCAGTATTTTGCTTTGTGTAGTCTGATGTCCCTTCTCACTCGCCTTATTGTTGAGATTAAGTGAAACGACCTGACATTACGGCCATGTTGAGCAGTATCTGGCTAAGTATGGAATCCATTCTATTTTGCCTCAAATCTGAACCTCGGCTCAGTGTGCTTAGCCTTTGACTTGCAGGAATTTGAATATCTGCTAATCGAGGTACCGTCACTTCCCATCAAATGCCGAAAGACTATATATGTACCCTGGCTAGAGCCCGTGCCTTCAACAGAGAGTGGGGAATCAATTGCAATAGCAATAAGTGGCAATAAGTGGAGAGAAATCTGCCTTGTTTGTCTGGGGACAAATCGGAAGTCTGGCTTCTCAATCCGAGATGTGATCCCAGAACACAAAAGAGGAAATGAGAGAAAAAGCGCTTTTCACAAATACCAAATTAAATCGCAAAGCGAGTTCCTGAGCTTTCGAATGGTAAATGTTGATCATTATTGGCAAGTTAAGCCATTAAATAGTTTAATAACAGGGGCACGCTCTTCAAACTTTCTTCAGTTCCATTTACAACAGGCTAGTTGAACAAGCAGTACTTTCAAATTGCTTGTGTATGAAATAATTGACATCCTTCTGACAATGCTCTTTCCAAACAATGAATGTGCGACAAATACTCATTCATGGAGTTTACATCCAGTTGGGCTTGTTTCTTCAAATGGCTCAACTGGCTGTAAATTAGGCCTTTAACCCCTATGGGACGTCCTCCTGACGTGAAAGGCGCTCTATAAATGCAATCTTGTTGTTGTTGTTGTGATTGGGTGATAACAGCACAAAGTGTCATCTGCAGTGAACAGATGTAGGAAGCCATGATTTAGGTAACAGGATATCAAACATTTTTGGAAGAGTGTCAGCAATTCTGGAACGATCATTAATACATGGTGAGGTGTTAGCTCATCCAAATGGTGTTAAACCATTGGTTCCCAAGCTGGTGGAAATGGGGGGTATGAGGTAGTAATTGGATCATTTACTTGCAGGTGGCTTGCGCTCTTGCTCTCTCTGGGCCAACCACAGCTAGACCCACACACCAATCACAGCCCTTGGGAGTTATTGTGTGTGTGGGGGGGGGGGCTCATTCAGGATGCCGAGTGTCATGGTGGAGCCTGGATCCCAGAAAGTTTGGATACCCCTGTGTTAAGGGCAAATGTATTCCCTGGTGAAGTGTTCCGAGTGATTGACCCAAGAGGTCAAAAGTTCCGGGGTGGGAAGAGAAGTGGGTAAATTAGCCAGGGCTCCAGCTCAGTAACCTTGCTGTGATACAGTCAAGATCTTATAAATATTCAGTGGATTACTAATTGTTTGAATGATAAGTAGAGGACAGTCACAAGGCAAACTAAATAGAAATAGAATAAGGACCGCTCCCGTTTTTGGTATATATATATATAAATTACTTTGAATTGTAGACTTGACTGTAACCACGCCCTACTATTAAGGCTATTTAAAAAGGAAATTTGAATAAGACCTATATTCTAAAAAGCCATTGTATTTCCAAAATGGAGCCTATATGGTTTGGTGTGAAGGGACGTGAGAATTTTGTGACATGAAATTAGGTTATTTTTCTTTCGCCCACAAAATACAGTCAATTCACTTTATAGAATATACTGTGAAGCTGTTTGAGATGTCTCCACACTGTGATAAGGCACTATATCAAATCAAGGATTATTATTAGTAAAACTGAAATTTTTACACAACTGAGCATCATGTTTGACAAAATTATTTGTGAAGACCTTTCTGCTGGTAGAGGACAAGAAGCCATTGGAGGACAGGGAACCAACTGTGACTTAGGGTCAAAACAGAAAGGATCAGAAAAGAACAAGAGGGTTGTCAGGGTGTACAATGGTTTGCCTGGAGAGGGCTGTTAGAACTGTCAAATCTGCATTTGAAAAAAAAACTTGGGACAAGCACATTTAGAGGAATGGAATTAGAAATTAGTGGGAATTGCGAGGACAGAAAAAATAACAATCCTTGTATTTGATATTGTGCCTTATCACAATATGTCTCAAAGGATTTACTACAGTGTAGAACCTGCATAGGTCAGCCAATTTATGTGGTAATATCCCATAACAATGAAGTGAACGAACAGTGTATCTGGAGGCTTTTTGGAGGAAATGAATGGGCTGAATCACCTAGTGCGTCACACTATGTGCAACTAGCGAATGTGTAACAGACTTAATATTGTATGCAAGGGAGAAACTATCGAGCATTACAAATAAAGTGGTTTCTATTGAAAGCTCTGGAGTACTGAGATTCACCTCAAAGTTATCCAAAGAAATTTCAAAATGCTATATAGGCAAAACAACTCAAGTGACAAGAAGTTTCAAAAATACACTATGCTTTGCAAGTAATATTTTATCACAAATATTACTTTGAGAGGAAGATTAAATGGTCTGTCACCACCCCTTCGCTCCACCAATGACTATGCTTTCAGGCAGTATGCCTGAAACTCTCCCTCAATACTTTCAAATCCTGATTAAAGACCTTCCTTTTTGACTGTGTTTAGTCACGTCCTCCTCCCTCTCCCCCCGGCTCGGTGTCAGACTCCGCCTCTGTCAAGCACTCCGCATGAATGGATGCTATATAAATGCAAGTTGTTGTTAAAGATGACGATTTCAAAATTGCTCTTGCTATTTTTCACTGAAACCTGGACAGTAAGTGCTGGATGTGCAACTGGGCTGATGTGGCTCCTGGTTACCAGAGCTGAACCCATTGACAGTAATTTATAGCATCCCATCTTCCCAGCTATGGTCAGGTAAATCATCTCAGAAGCCATGAGCACCACATGAACAACTCTCATCTGTACAGCTCAGATCCACCACAGAACAGTACACTGACCATACTCCAAGAGTATTGCACATGTAGTCATATTAATTGTCATAGAACTAAATCTTCAAGTCCCACTAGAATTCATTCATTTGTTAATGGAGATTTAATAGAGGTTTGATTGAGTAGATAAGGAGAAACTGTTTCCACTGGCAGGTGGGTCTGTAACCAGGGGACATTGATTCTTTTGCAAATTATCTTGAATTTGAGGGGAGAAGAAGAAACCTTTTTTTTTATTTAAACAGAGTTGTTATGGTCTGGAATGCACTGCCTGAAAGGATGTTGGAAACAGATTCAACAACAACTTTCAAAAGGGAATTAAAAGGAATTGGATAGGTACTTGAAAAAGAAATAATTGTAAGGATATGGAGAAAGAGCAGGAGTGGGACTGATTGGGTAGCTCTTCCAAAAAGCCGGCACAGTCACGATGGATTGAATGGTCTCCTTCTGTACTATAATATTCTATGATTCATTCTTCCAAAAGATCAACTGGCCAACAGCACAAGAAAGAGGGCTAATTACATAGTAATACACCTTAAGCAGCATTTTATTTCATCCATTCAATTGAACATTTAATTAAGGTTTGGCATTCCATCAACCTTCATTTCAATGCTGTCTAATACAATCTGGTCTTGCATTTATCAAACCCACTTGCAAACTGATTGGTAGCAGATGTTTTACAAAATTATAAACCACTTAGGTTAAAACAAACATCTGACAAAATGTGTGTTTTTCTTAAACAAAGTATCAAAACATTTTAGCAGATGCAATGCATTACCTAAAATCTGTGTGTACATTGTATAGCTCCATATAAATTAACATAGCAAAAATATTGAGCAACACAAAAGAAGCCAGTCCTCCCAGCTATCTAAGTCTAATTCATGGATGAAAAAAGTTCATTGGCTGAAAACTAGCAGACTATTATGTAATGGCTACAATACAGTCAGTCGATTGCTGACCCACGTTTGAAGTTACTGGAGTAACAACAGGGATACTGTAGTTTCTGCATGCACAGGGCGGAACGCCTGACACAAAGTCACAGCTTTTCCAATTTCCATTTATAACTTGATACGGTAATTATTTGCTTGTTCTAAAATCCGCTAGTATTTCCTTTAAAAGATCAAAATTATCTGTAAATGGTTTTTCACGGTCAAATTGCCTTGCTCTTAGCACAATTTGAGTGCGACTACAGCAAAGGGCTTAAATATCAACACAAACCAACACAACCAATGAAGACTACTGAATTTTTTTTTCTGATGGTTGTGCAGCAGATTAGAAGAGCTGTGTACAGTAGATATATTAGCATTAGGGTATATAGCATGTGATTCAAGGTGGGGGGGGCGGGAGAGAGGAAAGACCATTAGTTGTTGCTTTCTCCTGCTTCATCGTCTTGCTGATCACTTGTCCAGAGGGTGAGGTTGTCCCGTAGCAATTGCATGATGAGAGTCGAGTCCTTGTAGGAATCCTCGTTTAATGTGTCCAATTCAGCGATGGCATCATCAAAGGCTGCTTTGGCCAGGTGGCAGGCCTGCTCAGGTGCATTTTGGATCTCGTAGTAGAAGACTGAGAAGTTGAGGGCCAGCCCTAGGCGAATGGGGTGGGTTGGCTGCATCTGCTCTTTGCTGATCTCGAAAGCCTCCTTGTAGGATGCCTCGGAAGATTCGACCACACCAGCCTTCTTCTCCCCAGTGGCCACCTCAGCCAGGTAACGGTAGTAGTCGCCCTTCATTTTCAAATAAAACACTTTGCTCTCGTACTGAGAGTCGTTGCAGTTCTTTATAAGGTACTTGTCGAGAAGAGACAGAACATCGTTGCACACCGCTCCAGCTCTTTCTCGATCTTCTCCCGGTAGGCACGGACCATCTCCAGCCGCTTCTCGTTGCCGTCCGAGTTTTTCTGCTCAATGCTACTGATGACTCTCCATGATGACCGCCGGGCTCCAACCACATTCTTGTAAGCCACAGAGAGCAGGTTTCTGTCTTCATTTGACAGTGGCTCATTCAGCTCAGTCACCTGCAAGAAGTGAATAGAGATCAGATCGGCAATGGCACAATCCCTTCCCTACTCCCTTGAAGTTAAACATCTCGTGAACCTGTGGTTCATCACATTAGTCTCTCACCTTTGGCTTCCATAGGAGAGTTCAAAATAAGCAGCAAAAATGCAATCTCATTTTCAAACTAACCCCAGATCTTGCTACATGTCTCTCTTCACGTGTCTTTGTCATTACTCACCAGTCAACCAAGTTATCTTTTCACAACGTTTCGTGATAACAATGTTTGCTAAAAGAGGGGGACATTTACCATGACAACAAGACAATCATGATCCACATTATCTCTAGACCTTGCTCTAAATACCACTGCCCCTCCCTTTACAACTGAAGTTGCTATATATTCCAATAAAATTCAAATGAGTTGTGAGTTATGAATTGCACTGTACTGGTTAATAATTCCACTGGTGCCCATAATGACCCAGAAGGCAGGTTAGTATAAATTGCTAGTGTTACTTGTTAAGGATTTTACTACAATTCTAGATCCTTATTCCTAATAATGATTATGAAGGGCATGGGGGGGTGGGGGAAGAGAAGAGAACTAGGTAAGCAGGATGCATTCCTTCACGGTGCATATTCCATTCCAATAATCTCTCTGGAATTTTCATATGCATGTACAGAATTCTCAGTTGGGGTTGGATACACTTAAGCATGGGAATGGGTTTCCGCCTGTGTCAAAGCACCCAGCTGACTCCCAAAAAATTGCTTTAACCCTTTGTAATGCTGGGGTTTGGTTCCTCAGCCAAACAAAAGTGCCCATTCAAGAGTTAGAGCTTTTACTTCTTAATCATCAATATAGGCTGGAAGTATCAAGTGCAGGAGACTAGAATAATCAACCAGTTCCAGATGGCAGCAAAGCAGAATAGGAGAAAAGCTGACTGAAGCAGGTGAAATTCACATGCAACAGCTGGGGAAGATCAGAACTGAGGAATGTTTTGAGGTATCTGGCACCAAAAGACCATAAATGGAAGGCAATCTGAAATATTTTGATTAATTTGTATAACTTCAGTAGGGCTTTAGATACACTCCGACAGATTTACGGGTATCTCATCAAATTCTGTTGAAAATCCAGGACAGATTCAGAACAGTTTAAACCATTGCCACAACAGTAATTAACCCTATCTATCGCAATCAAGGAGCTGCCCAAAGATCAGAAGATCCCAACACGATAGCTGTGGGCTCGTCTTAAAACAATATTTTTGCCTCCTCACATTCTTAACCAATCTTGCCCAGTTACACATTATTCCCCAAATGAAACAAGATGTTCAACCCAGTCCCAAGTACGACATGAAATGCAACCAGCTTCAAGTATAGGGTGTATTAAAATCTAATTTTTTAAAAAATAAAACATAATTTTCCCCTTTCCCAGCTCACACATCAGCCATGTCCTGTTGTAGACCCTATACAGACTTCTGTGACTCTACAATTGTATTTATATAACTAATTCTATAATTAGGCCCAGGTTTACTGACCCCAAGGAAAGAATTTAAGGACCCTCAACCAACCTTAAGAGGGCCACAAACTGGTTCGTGGAAGACGAGGGTCAAAGTGTTCTGAATCCTATAGTCAGTATGCTGTGCCACCTAGATCATTTTTTAAAAAACACTGTACTCCCAGATAAGTTTGATAAAGGAGTGGGAAAAGCACACAGCAGCCATGGCAACAAAATGGTGAACAAGGCAATCACGTAGCATCATGACTTAGTTTATCTGTTGACCTTGGGCCATGTGGGAAGAGTGTTGATTAGTGTTGATTTCTGCAAGTGGATGAAATTTTATTATGACTGACCTGAAGAGTCGGTCACTATTGTGATCACTTTTATACAAATCACAGCAACCTGCAGATAAACATTACCACAAACTTTACACCCAGGAGTGGTTTCAGCTCATTAAAGTTAGTCCCCATAGCTGGTTATAGCTTGTTATTTTTATAGTTAGGTGTGGCAGGCATAGCTGTGAAGATTACTCTCTCACAAACATTATGTTTTTTAGGGGAATAGTTATATTGCAGGGACAAGACAAATCAAAGTAATATTTAATTTCAAAGTAGAGGTGAATTGGAACATGGCATGGTCCTTCAATCCAGCTTTCCGTCATCTCCAATTAGAAAGTGGGTATATCTTCATGACTAAGGGGTAGAATATTTCAATTTTGACACATCAATTATGTGAGATCTTATTTCTTTCCATAATAGAGAAAGACTTTTTTTTAAAAAACAAGCAACTATGGACCACTGCACATTTAACTGCATCCTTTCTTTAATACACATCATTCTAGTAGATCAGGCAATGAGACTTGTTTTTCAAGCCGACGGAGAAATCCAATAACAAGCAGGCTGGAGGTATTGAATGAATAGAAATAGCAGTCTGACTGCTTAGAACCCGAAAAACCGAAGTAGTACTGACACCATCACCTGCATACTGCTGAGGCAGACAACCTGGCAACATTGAAAGAAAATGGAAAAATGTGGTACTACATTGATTAACACAATTTCAGTCTGAAACTCTTTTACTTCCTCAATGCATCATTTTACTTTCTCACCCTGGGCTTCTCCGGTTCAGGGAATCAGCAGATGACTTGTATTCAGGTATTTGTGATAAATTCTTCATTGAGCCTAAAGGAGGTTCAAAGGCTTCACATAATTAATCTTTTCTTTCTTTTTTCTGCTCATTAAGCTTCCACTTACAGTTGTCACCCACCTGATTTTGGTGGATGGTTTAATGATCTGGATATTTCTGTTTAATGGGGAGACCAAAAGCTGAGCATTATTTGCTTTCCCATTATTTCTGATTCTTATGACATGGAGTCATTGATTATTAAGGTTATCAATAAAATGTAATGAGTACACCAAACACCAGAACTCAAGCCATGATCTATATTCTGGCTTCACTGCCGCATTCCTGTTCACAGGAGGGGACACAAAGTCAGGGTTCCCATTCACCATATCTCATCAGGGGATTCCTCTGAATGTACACATGTATCAAACACGGACAGATTTAAGGTTAATCGTGAAATAAGTACAGCTGACTGGCCTACCAACAACCACAGTCCAGATTTAACATGAATGACTACTCAGTGAGGTCAGAGTTCCAGTCAGGACCAATCTAACAGTACTCCAGCAATGAATCAATGTCAGTTTTTCTTGCTTACATTCTGCATAATCCATATATCAGCTATAATGAGACACGATACCATGATAAATGCCCAATTAACAGAGGGGATACAGCACACATTTTTAGAGCTAGCTAAACTACAATATGTGCCTCATATGTAAAATCAATTAATGTGAGCATGAAATCAGACTTGAGGGGAGTGTCATTCATATTGGTATTTAAGATTCCACGGGGTTACTCTGCCAATCGCAGGTTGGGCTGCAGAGTTCACCCTCATCAAAATCAAGTAGTATTCACATCAGCGAAACAACCAGACCATACATAGTATCAGTGGGAAACTGGCCTACAAAACCTGCCTGCAATACTCAGAAGATGCAAGGCTACTCATTTGAAAAACCTCATTCTACATTTTTTTTTGTTAGAAGCCAGTTTAAATATTCTTGAATACGATAGTGATCATATCTTCCAAGTTCCAAGAATACACAGCTATCAATATGTGCTCCAATATCAGCTCCTTTCATTTCTCCCAGACAATGTGTGACACTGACCCAATTTCTAATCTCCACTGCACAGGTGGCACTGAGTTTCAGAGCAAGAGAAAGACCAGTTCAAAGCCCAAAAACCACCACTATAACAAAAGTAACTGCACTTTCCACTGAATCCTGAGAAAGAATTTGAGACATTGAAATAAGGTACTATACCAAATGTAAGGATTATTATTATATCCAAATTGTTTGTTATAGCTTAGACATAAACATCCACATTTACAGCACACATTTAATGGTCAACTTTTAAAATTCTGGTAAGGCATCTACAACACTATTGTTATGATAACGTCTAAATTACCTTGTTTTTCCTAATCATGCCTAACATTCTGGACAATAGATGTTCTAGAAAACAGACGACAGAAACCTAGAAGCACTGTCCCTTGAGTGGACCCACTACAGTGTCTGTTATTTCGATCATTTTTCCAATGTATCTTTCCCTTATTCACCAGCTCAGTGATTTCTGGACCCTGCTCATTAGGAATCGGATTTACAATGCCCTCCCTCCCCAGCAGTAGATTAGCAAACTGCCCCGCCCAGATCAATAGAAAGTGCCTTAAAACAGGTAATCACTTCAACAACACACCTACTCCATTCTCTGAAATAAAGGTGGGCTTGTTATTCAGCAATCCAGTCTAAAGTCTACTCTGGCCTGATTAAATCACTTACTCAAGCATCAATCATCTTCCAAAAGACCATACTGCCTTCTACCAGTTCTTTGGAAAATACTGATTAATTTTGTTCACACCACTCCATCTCTGAGGGAATCTCAAGAGCAAATATCTTGCCAGGCCCTACTTTACTCCTGTACAACCAGGGACGGGAAATTAGGGGTCTAGCTATGATACTCTACCCAAGTCAATGACACAAATTTAAGTAGCATAAGGCAAAGTGTGCCAATACTAATGCCATCAGGGGGAGAAGAAAGAGGGAGAGGGAGTCTTAAGTCATCAATTATGGGAATGAGTCAGGTTGATTGCAAATCCACCCATAGCCCGTCTTCTAGTCTTCTTAATACATTCATTCCACACACTACTCCCCGTGTCATTGTATTTCAGGCACCTATATTCTATCAAAACAGATCTAAACCCTAATAATAACGCCCCACCCAAAAAGAGATTTGTATTTTTTATTTCAGTCCTACCCCTGTAAATTCCCATTCAGTTGGAACATTTGCAGGAATGTGTTCCCCTGATACAATGCCCGTTGCTCAAAGAATCCTTCAACACCAGCCAAGAAACCCACCTAGTCTCTCTCACATACTGGACTAGGAAGTTTTACCCCCCTTCCTGAACTGCACACATTCTGAAAATCATATTACCTGATGTTATAACAATGTGCTTCAAGTTAATCAGACTGACTTTAAAAATGCTGGAACCAGGCAATTCAGCTCTTGGAGTACTGAAACTGAACCAAATCTGAAATTGTTGTACAGAACGTGAAAATAAATCCTTGTTTACAGAAACTGATCCCCCAACAGATTAAATCTGAGAGTAGATGGTTGCAAGTCCCTTCAAGGCACATTACTAATTTTATCACCTCTGCTGCAGTCACCGCCCTGTCTCAGATCTCATTAACACGACCCCTCTGTCAGCTTCAATGCTACAGTGCATTTCATTAAGCTTCTGCCAATCTGCAGAACCCACCCATCCTGGTGTCCTTACGGCCACACCAATGCAGTTTTAATCACTACATGAATTCAGGAAAAGATGATGAGATAAAAAGAGTTAAATGTAACCTATTTATCTCCCTCTCGTTGAACGTCATCTATTCTAGCTGTCCAATTTCAGGTCAAAAATTTAATGGGAGGAGAGAAGAAACTCATCCCGTCATTGATTCCTACATGTTCGAGGTCCTGCAGCACTATGTAGAATATCTATAGACCACACCCATTCACTGATCCTGGATTTCAGAACAGACCAGAGCAATAGTGATTTTGACCATTAAGTAGAGCTTACAAGGGCGGGGAGAGCAGCAGAACATTTTGTTAGGTGATATTAAGAAATAACGGAACAATTCTTGTACATATGTCAACTCTCCATCGCAGGACGCAGCCCTTCTCATCGAGTGCACCAGCCTTGAAAACAGTGTAATAAAAATAAATGGGTTATACTGCAGAAGCCCACCCAAAGACTCCCCCTGATCACACAGAGCTCATCCTCCAGGTTGGGAAAAGATTGCTGTTTCATCCACTTATAAAATAGATCAACTGCTGCTGTGCGGCTCACGTTTGTTAACGTTTAAGACGGGGGGGAGGGGGGAATTATTGAGGCCAAACAATGTATCTCACTCCTTCAGAATAAAAGTTTATATCTACATGAAACCCAACGTCCACCCCCCCCACTCTCCCCATCCCACCCCCACACTCTCCCCATCCCACCCCCCACACTCTCGCCATCCCACCCCCCACACTCTCCCCATCCCACCCCCACACTCTCCCATCCCCCCCCCACACTCTCCCCATCCCACCCCCCCACCCCCCACACTCTCCCCATCCCACCCCCACACTCTCCCCCCCCACACCCCACTCGCGCACCACTTCAGTTGGGACTCACACCCGAATGAATGAATGAATGAGCGGTCTCTCCTCCCTACACCCGTCACCTTCGAAAAAGACGAAGGGCCATGAATTCAGAGTCGATTCTGTTGCCATTTCTTTGGGGTAAAAACATAAGGGCTGTGTGTGTGTGTGTGATGGGGAGTGGGTGGGGGGAGAGGACTGGGGAGCAACCAGACAGTCAAGACAGTGGCCGGGACCCGCCCGTCTCCCCTCACTCCTGCTCTCTCTCTCTCTCCCTCACACACAGAGACAACCCATCACAGACCGGACAAGGGTGGGCTTCAGCTTCCACTCACCGCTTTCATGGCCGCCGCCATGTCATCGTACCTCTCGCCTTGCTCGGCCAGTCTGGCTCTCTGCACCAGCTGCTCTCGGTCGACCATCTTGGGATACGGTGAGGCAGGGGGTGGCCGGGGCTGTGTGTGTGTGTGTGTGTGAGAGAGGAGATGGGGAGCAGACCCGCTTCTGTAGCTGTGGCTCGTGTCTGAGCGGGAAGGCGAGTGTGAGGTGTGTGTGTGTGTGTGTGAGGGTCAGTCGGCGCTGTGTAGCGGCCGCTCTGTCAGTGTGTGTGTGTGTGGCTGTGGCGGCGGCAGTAAGTGGCGCCTCTCGCTGGGCTCCGGCTTTACTAACCGAGAGCGACACACGGCGGCGCGGCGGCCCCGCCTCCAGCCCCGCCCGCCCCACAATGCACCGCAGTGCCGCAGTCGGGCATGCGCACTGCGCCGGCCAGGATCGGGCCCTTTAACGGTGACGTCATTTGCTAAATATAGCACCTTGCGGATTTTTATTTCCTTCCCCAATTTTGTTTTCTTTCCTCCCTTCCCCCCCCCCTCCTCCTCCGCCCACCGACCCCTCACTGCCAGCGGCGATGGAATGGAGGAGGCGAACAGGGAGGGGAAGGAGCCGTTACCTCACCTCTTACCCCACCCAGTGGGGCGGGCGGGCGGGCGGGGAGGGGTGGTTGGCGCGTGCCGTTGGGCGGGCGTTGGGCGGGGTGCACGAGGCAAGGGTTTGCAGGAAGTAGCCCAATATTACGCGTCGCCTGTTCGCGGGGCTGAGCAGCGGCGCGGGGGGCGAGTGAGGTGCTGCAGACACCGTGTGTGTGTGTGTGTGTGACAGACAAAGGGGGAGGGGCACACACCAACCTGGTCCAGGTTTCCATTGTCTAAAAACACGACAGGCGCGAGCCCCAAAGCCGCAACCCTCCCCCACAACAGAAACCCCACCGCTCCCTTCCCCCCCCCCCACACACACACACACACGAAAGCGTTTAAGAGCGCATGCGCGCCGGTGCGAGCGCGCCAACTCCCCCCCCCCCCCGGCCACGCCTCGCCTCCAGAGGAGAGGTGCTCCACTGCGGCTGCGCGTTGCTATGCGATCGGGAGTCCTTGCCGCAGCTGCCGGGGCGGGGAAGCGGCGCCTGTGATTGGACAGTCGCTGTCAGCCATTTTTTTTTGACCGTTTGTGCCTCATCATCTCCCGCCCGCAGCTGCCCTCAGGTCTCTCTCTGTCTGTCTGTGTCTGTTCTCAATGTGACTAACCTGACACACGGCGGTTTTTGATGAAGGAGTTTGTGGTAGTTTTCGCTTTTCTTTTTTGTTTTGTATTTTGTTTTTTGTTTTTTTTAAAAAAAGGCGATGGGTGAGGATTTTTTTTCCCCCTCGTCGGGCGGACAGTAATAATAATAATAATTATTATTTATTTAGGATGAATAATAACAACCCCATCCTCGCATTTGACACGGCGCCTCATCGCGTCTGCGTAGGCGTCTCGTCTCAAAAGCGCTTCGCGGGATGCACTGCCGAGTGGTTCCGACCGCCCGCGGGTCAGTCACCGGGGATCGAGTGACTGAATTATTATTGTGTGTGTGTGTAAAAATCACCATAGAATTACACAGCACAGGAGGAGGTCATTCAGCCCATCGTGTCTGTGTCGGCTCTTTGAAAAGAGCTTCCAAATAACCCCACTCCCCCACTCTCTCCCCATAGCCCTGATCAACCCCACTCCCCCACACTCTCCCCATAGTCCTGATCAACCCCACTCCCCCACACTCTCCCCATAGCCCTGATCAACCCCACTCCCCCGCTCTCTCCCCATAGCCCTGATCAACCCCACTCCCCCGCTCTCTCCCCATAGCCCTGATCAACCCCACTCCCCCGCGCTCTCCCCATAGCCCTGATCAACCCCACTCCCCCGCTCTCTCCCCATAGCCCTGATCAACCCCACTCCCCCACACTCTCCCCATAGCCCTGATCAACCCCACTCCCCCGCTCTCTCCCCATAGCCCTGATCAACCCCACTCCCCCGCTCTCTCCCCATAGCCCTGATCAACCCCACTCCCCCGCACTCTCCCCATAGCACTGATCAACCCCACTCCCCCGCTCTCTCCCCATAGCCCTGATCAACCGCACTCCCCCGCTCTCTCCCCATAACCCTGATCAACCCCACTTTCTCCCATAGCCCTGCAAAATGTTGGGGATATTGCCCTACATATGTTTTTTTATCTCCAGCCGCTTAGATTTGAACATCCTAACCTTAAAACATTTCCAAAATAGGTTAAAAAAAAACCAAAGCCCCAGGCAATGGTCTGGGACAAATGGTAATTCCAGCGTTTAGGCTTTTCCTTCAATTCCAGAAAATTTACACTTTTAATAGGATGTGACACCATGACCACCGCCAAGGCTTTGTTTTATGGTTCTCAGAAATATAGACAGTAAACCTCAAATTGATATTCATTTGATGTTTGGGGGTTTTATCAGGATAAACAGTTGACCCTAGTGTATTCCCTGACATTGATTTTGACCTGCTTTTAGCAAGGCTCGGATCTGGGAGGGGAGATTGTTTGGTAATGTCTTCACTCCCAATGTGTTCTTGAAAATATAATGCACTGATTTTTGGAAATTGATGTGTCTGCCTGTTTTGATTTGGGGGTATAGTAATAATAATCATCTTCAATAGTCTCAAAGCACTTTACAGATTATACTGTAAAGTGAACTGACTTTATTTTGTGGGTTATTCCCAAATAAACCCTTTTTTCCCAACACATTTTTATGGAGCAAACATAAGGGTATGTCACTTTAAGGAGGTAATCCGTCGCAGAACGAGTATGGATTGCTGCATAACCCATTTTGTTGCAACCTAGAGAAGCGAGACAAAAAATACCAATTAAAACGTGTTCTTTGCTCCACCCAGTTTGTCTCGCATTGAGTAATTCCGTTCACTATCACCAGATTTAAATGGCTTGAGGGATGATCAAACAGATAGTGATTTAAATGTATTATATCCATTCATGTATCTAATCTGCACCATTAGCACAAATGAAAATATCATGTGTTTTTATCATATTCATTAAATAGTGAATGGGGCATTGTTATCAGGGGAATGGTCTGTGGTGTGATGGTGTGTTTTAAAATAAATTGAGTGTTCGTCTGATTTTTAAAAAAAAAAGTTTAACAACTATCAGTTTTCTTATCAAATACTTATGATAAATTGCTGAGATGTTTATAGGTTTTACATAACAATGTTCCCTTATAACTTAACCAGAAACCATGGATAATGTAGAGTCAATCAGCAGCACAGGGGTGGTCAAGGTTGCATAATAATAATCTTAATAATAATACTTGCATTTGATATAGTGCTGTTGGGATTTCCGATCCCAAAGTTCGAAATATGGCTCAACAATCCAAATATGGTGCAGCCAGGTTTATTATGAACAGAGTGAACATAACATGCATTAACAAGTTACTACAAATGTCTAACAAATTATACTACCAGTCTTTGTAGACAGTGATGGAAAGTCATGCAACACCTTCCTTGTAATCCTTAAAGGGACCTCTCCACACTGGTCTCTCTCTCTGGAGCCTTCCTGTTCTTCTCACTGTTCTCACCTAGAGGTGTGATAGTTATACCCTTTCTCCAAGTGTCCTTCCTAGGGACCCTCTACCCACTTCTGATACAGTCACGTACTTAGATTAATCAATCATTTGGCTTGATGCCAACTTGACTGAGTCTTTTCGAGATCTTTTCTTTGTCCTGTCTTAATAAAATGATTTAATCAGTCTAGGCTGTTTCGGGTGCTCATTATTTTGGTATGTGGGATCGTTAGTACATTCCTTTTAATTGATTAGTTACCCCTTATCAATATTACCAGGATGGTACCAACAACAACAAGATTCCATTTATAGAGCGCCTTTCACGTCAAGAGGACGTCCCAAGGCGCTGTACAGTTGGGTAGGACCCGAGCAAGGGGGAAATGGTCAGGGTAAGGGGAGGGAAGGGAGGGAGTGAGGAGGGGGTAGAGAGTCGAGAGTGGAGCTGAAGACACGGTCAAAGAGAAAAACTCCTCCATATTGAACAACTTACGCATTAATGGTTATTCTTGAGGGTTGCCGTTTGTTGGTTGGCAGGGCTAATTGCTAAGCTTATTGCTAAGCCCAGATCTTGTGTCGACCGGTATCTTGGACTGTTACCTCTGTGGGCTTATTGTTATTTACTGATAAGTGGTGACCCGATGCCCTTTTCCAAGGCTGTCATTATTCCTTCAGAACAGAGAAAACCAGATGTCTCCTATCCCGTAACCGTCAGTACTTTTTGCATTCTACATTTGTTTAATGTTTCATTATTATTAGACTACAACTTCTATAATCTAACAATGTCTTATCATGTCGTTGAGATGTTTCAAAGTGCTTCACAGGATATGCTACAACGTGGATTGGCTGTATTTTGTGGGCAAAACGCAGCAGCCAATTGTGCACAGCAAAGTCCCACAAACTGTCATGGAGTGAATGATTAATTTTATTTGGAAGATTGTTGGTCAGAACACAGGGAGAAACTCTCTTCTTTTCAAATAGTGTCATGGGATGCGTAAAATCCACTTGAACAGGCAGACTGAATTTAACGTCTCATCCAAAGGTCAACACTTACAACAATGCAAAACACTCCCAGCACTGCATTAGAGTGACAGTCTATACAGGGTGACCAAAAAATCGTGATTGCAATGTCTAATAAGTCTTGAAGAAATGATGATTTTTTTTACATAATAGGGACTTTACACGGCCTTTTGGACACTCCGTACTACGTGATTCCAAGTTCTCAGATGGGGCTTGAACCCACAACCTTATGACTCGGTGGCAAGAGCACTACCACTGATTCAGGCAGATAGTAAAGATAGTTAACAATAATAATAATAATCCTTGCATTTGACATAGCAATCTGTAATCTAATACAGTAGTTCTGAAAGAAATGTTTTGGTGGCTTCAATATTCGGACACCAATAGTTACTGGTGAATGCAGTGCTAGTTTTCCCGAAAATATTTAATCATATGAAAAATTAAGGAAATCCTCTGACACTGTTTGGACAGATGTTTGGACAACAATCACATACTCCTTTTTGACATACGGAAGGGACGTAAGACGTCTGACGAAATCTGCATAGGTGGACTTACATAGGAACATAGGAACAGGAGTAGGCATTCAGCCCTTCGAGCCTGTTCCACCATTTCATCAGATCATGGCTGATCTATATCTTTACTAGAATTTCAAATCCAATTTCCCGCTTTCTCCCCGTATCCCTTAATGCCCCGACCTACCAAACATCTGTCAATCTCTTTCTTGAAGGTGTGGATGGATCCAGTAAAGGCTTCAATCCTTTATTACACTTTTTCTTACCATCAGCAC